CGATGCGGCGACGGCGTGTGGCCGCCGGAGGTGGTGGACAAGTCGGTCGGAGTGCGAGTGGCCGGTCAGTCGACCGAGCGACCGGAGCTCGGACTCCGAGTCCCGGTCATCGGCCGTCCGCTGGCCGACGCCGACGCGTGGCGCCCGGCCAAGAAGGCAATGTCTACGCTTTCTCTCTTCCCCGGCAGCATGCTCCGGCGTCTGGCCGGCCGTCGCCAGACCGCTGGCGTCGGTCTGCACCGACCGGCATCGAAGCGCCTCGACTCGGGACTCGTTTTCTCCATTCTGCCCGCTTTCGTGGCCGCTCCGCTGGTCGCCAACGAGTCGGCCACACCTTCCGGCCTCGAGCGGACGCAGAGGCGACTCTCCGCCGACGACAGCCTCTTCGTGCCCACCCTCGGGCCCGGCTTGGTCAGTCGTCACGGCAACACAGCCAGAAGGTCGACGTCACCCAGCAACCGGTCTCGACAACTGGACACAGGAACCACGACCAGAGACAAAGTCGAGGAGGCGCCGGGCAGACGTGACGACGAGAGCCCAATCAACAGTCCCGGACTCAGCCGCCAGGCGCGACATCAGTTGCCATCACGACAGGCCGACGTCTCCAAAGCGAAGCAGTTGTCGCCGGATGGGGGCTTGAAAAGTCGAGGCGCCACGACTAGGAAGAGCCCGACTGGCAAGACCAGCGGGCACAGTTCGACGGGCCGACCGAAAGAGACGGCGTCCACGTCGGCGTCGGTGTTGGTGAAGAGGACAAACGGAAAGAGGACGCTTCGTCCGAGCCATGCGAAAGGCCGGGCCCGGCCGGTCGTCGGAGCGCCGGTCGGGCAGCAGACGAGGCGAAGTGCAGGGCCTGAAAAGCCCGAGAAGCCCGAGACGGTGGCGGCGAGAGACAGGACTTGCGTCGGAGAAGGCAATGACGGCAAAAGTGCGGCCGCCGCGAGACTCGAGGCCAGGCAGTCGGAGGAGGAGGCGGTGGACGGACCGGAGTCGCCTCTGCCGCCGCCCGCAGGCAACATGCACAACTACATGTTGACGCAGAAGCAGACGCTGCATCGCATGGTACATGTCGGCTGGCGACCCTGTCCCCTCGCCAGCCAAAAGCCCGGCGCTTCCGGCTCCGGTTCCTGTTCCTGTTCCGGCTGCAGTTGCAATTGCGGTTGCAGTTGCAGTTGCGGTTGTAAAAACGACGGCGACGGCGACGGCGACGGCAACGGTGACGGTGACGGCGGTTCGACGGCCCGGCAGACCAACAGCAGCAGCTCGTGCGTCTGTTCCGCCTCGCAAGAGACCGAAAACCCCT